TCTTCTGCGGTTGCCGCCTTCCTCCGCCTTTCCCCTTGGCTGCCTGGCTGCCCCCAGCCGCCGAGGAGGAGCAGGCCGCCGGCCTCATGGCCCCGGCCTCCGCCGCTCGTCCTCACGCCTTGCGCCTCCTGGGCGCCGCCATATTGGGAGCCCCCGTGCGAGAGGCGGGATTGCGGCCTCATGAAAGAAGCCGTGGGGGCAGCGCCCCCTGTTGGAAACCCTGACCGGGTCCCATCAAGGTTGCGCCCTCTCAATGAACGCTGGGAAATGTAGTTTAAAAGGCTTCGGGGACTAAACCAGGTGTTCATAACCTGCCCTTGCTCATGGCCCCCTTCTGAGCCTCCTATACCTCTGTGAACCCCCCATAGGCTCTGTTAGGTGGAAAAAAGGTCCTTTATCACCTGCACTTCTTATTTACCTAAAATGGTGTTTCTTGACCTTGGCAACTTTGAGGTGTGTGGACTTCAACTCCCAGAATTCCCCAGCCAGCATGGGGGAATTCTGGGAATTGAAGTGTACACATCTTAAAGTCGCCAAGGATGAGAGACACTGGTGTAAACTGTACCATATAAAAACTAGAAAAGGGGTCTGGCCCCCTGGGGGGCCATATGACCCACTTGAGAGCCCATGGACTACACTAATTCCTTATGCAGAAGTTCCCAACAATCTTTGGGAGAAGTGGTTGGAGGTTTAGCCATGATGGCTACTGATCAGCCACAAATGTTAGTTACAAGGGGTTCCTATAACGTCAAAGTACAGACACAGGCACCAGAGGCAAGGTTACCTTTCTACCAGCATTTAGTAAGAATTCTAGGATTAATCTACCTGCCTTTGTTTTTCGCTATTTATTCATTTTAAAAAATATACTATTTTTCTTTTACATCAGGGTTAACCTAGGTCAGGATGGACAGTTTTCTTATGGCTGGGGCTGTTCTTTTTTTTTTTTAAAGCCTCGTAGATACATGGATGGTGATGTCAGAAAAATACCAGTTTTCCCCCTATAATAGGATGGACAGTTTTCTTATGGCTGGGGCTGTTCTTTTTTTTTTTTTAAAGCCTCGTAGATACATGGATGGTGATGTCAGAAAAATACCAGTTTTCCCCCTATAATCCTCCCCCTTCCCCCCCGACAGATTTGAATGTTTTGGTCCCAGGGCTACCTGGGGGCTCAAAAGTTGTGGTGAGAAGTTCTGTGCAGCCCCTGAATGGTTTTACAGTATATAGTTCTAGGTAACTCACATCACCAGCAGTGCAGAAGGTTGAAATGATAGTCATGACAGCAGCCGTAAAATGAATTAAGATACTAAAATAACAGTTCGATTAAAGTCAATAATAGAATGACTTGATGAAAGCCCATCTCAAAAGGAAGGACTTCAGCAACTTCTCTTTGACTGGTTACTGCATGGAAGAGGTGGAATTTCTGCCACTGCTCTTCACGTCCTTAACTAAAGTCAGTATCCAGTATTCTTTGTGGTTAAATCCATGGCAGCTAAATCAGTATATAATCAATGGGCTCCGTTCAGAAGGCTCTTTCAAGTTGTGCAATAGTTTCAAAACTCCTCCTGCTCCTGTCGCCCTTACGTCAAATCCCCAGGGTGTCCGAAGGTTTTCCCGCTTTGTAAAAATAGAAAGGGTAGGCATTAGTGGGAAGGGTCAGGAAAGACCTCTTGGAAATGTAAACCGGTAAACCGTCCTGCGCAAAATTAGCATGGGCTACATTCTGTACCATGGTTGTTTCCCCCCTTCCATAAGAGGCAGCCATAGGAGAAGAAAACGCTGCTCCCGACGTGCAGCTCCACGGATTGGAGAATATCTTGGTAAGTTGTAGAAGTTCTGGAGCAGTGTTTCTCAACCTGGGCAACTTTAAGATGTGTGGACTTCAACTCCCAGAATTCCCCAGCC